AGCGCTGCCTCGCAGCGCTGCTGCACAGGACAGTCTGTATCCAGAGATGGCCTTCTGTCTGCTTCTGCTCCTTTACCTGCTGCGCTTTGCTTCTTGTCCCAGAAGAGTCCAGACCTGCAGAAATGAAAGCAGAATTGACAGAAAATTCATGGCAGACAGAAAGCTTTGTGTTTTTGTAAAATAGTATGAAGAGATATATGTGGTACAACTACTGCTGATTATATTTGATATGGCACTTAGCTGTATTTTCTACATCATATAATGTAACCGTACCTCCTGTTACAGTTGGATGGGATGTTATTTAAGCTGATTTGCAAACAGCTTCGGCTATTGAGTCACTTTTGCCAGCATGAACTGAAGGATTTCAGCTTTCAGACTTGTCCAGGCCTTTCCCATTTAAACTGAAGAGTTGTGACTGTTAACAGGCAGCATTAGCAAGCAGATGTAGGTCTGCAGATCTACAAATGGTGGGAAATTAGTGAAAATTTGTTCAAAAAACAAAACCAGAAAGCAACCTTTTAAGAGTCACATGAATAGAGAGATACATTTATTTCTCACAATGATAAAATTTGATTTCAGATATGCTGTGGCAGCCCTGGAAGGTAAGGTGAGGTCTGGGAAGATGTCCTGCTGCGCTGGGAAAGCTGTGCAGCTGCATTGTTGTGACCATGGAGTTTGACTGCAGTGATGAAGTTCTCCCTTCTTCCTAATAACTCTATGCTTGATGAATTCTGGAATTCATGGAATAATTCTGAGAATGGCTGGGGCACTAAATGGATCTTCTTTACAGTAGCAGGGACAGGCAAGGCACTGATCTCTTCTCTGTAAACAGTGGTGGGACCTAAGAGAATGGGTAGAGCTGTGTCATGGCACCAAGCCTGCTGAAGCACACAGAGTGTTTGGACTCAGAAATGCGGTTTGAATTTGGAGTGAATCTTTGTGGAGCCTGGAGTTGGACTGGATCATCCCCATGGGTCCCTTCCAACTTGGGATATCATAAAATTCTATGATTCCTTTTGCATCATGGCACTTGCACCTCCTTTTTGTGGCTCTTCTAGAGTGGTTTCTTTCTTCTGGAGGGGTTTCTAGAACAGCTTTAATATTTTGTTTGAATGGCGCTGCATTGTTTCATCATGAATACTGTCAGGTCCCTGCACCCCTGCTAATCTAAGCTACCAGGATGTTTTTGTATTACAGTCAGCTGACAAAGGAGTAAGCAGACACACTTGGTGTCATCTATAAAGCCTGCTTCATGGTGAATGTAGAGTGTGTTTTATCTGAACTGTGTTTTCAAAGTGTTCTCAGCTGCATCTCCATATATAAGATCTTGGAGAATTTTGCTACATTTCAGCAATCCTTCAGACCCATGACTGATTAATACCAATCTCCTTTCAGGTATGGTTCACTCTGAGATACGACATAAATCTCACATACCCATAGTCACCTTATGCTAACTATGGGGTTTATACTGGTATCAAGGTATTAATAATAAGCAATTAATGTGGACATAGCTCAATGCTTGTGATAGACACAGAAATCCAAATTATAAACCCACAGTAAGAATAGTTTCTCCTTCATCGAAGTCAACATACATAGTTACACTGCGGTTTTGTATATGCCTGCATACACATTCTGCTGAAGAAGGACTTCCTCCAGCACCTAATGCAGGGTTAGTGGGGACGGTACGCCCTGAAGTTCTTCTGTGCCCCTAACTATCAGGCGTTGTTCTCAGTCTTCCTTGCAGGATGAGACTGCTAGCAGTTTTCTAAGCTCTCCTTTGAAGACTTAACACTTTTCACCCCCAGGTAAGCTCCAATAACTATTTTTATTCTATATGTGCATGACATTCAGCTCCTTCTCTTGATGTGTGCTTATGGTCGATTGGGCTCTGGATTCCTGAGGCAGATTTCCATTCCTCTCAACCAGGGATGGAGTCATTTACCCCATGAAGATTAGAAGTTTTCAGATCTCTTCATGAAGGGCTGTGCCCCTGTGTCAATTTACTGTGGGTGAGACTACCCAAACCTTTCAAGCTCCTAGGTTAATCCTCTATAAATCCTCAGCATGCCAGGTTTCTTTCTCTCCTAAAGAGATGACCAGACACTACATGCCTCGTCTGGCACAACCCATGGTCTGCAGTCTTGGAGCAATCAGAATAGATTGGTAGAAAGCCTTTTACTTGCTGACTCTGGATAGAGGGAAGCTGCTTCTTCACATTTCAGCTGAATAGTTCTACAGCTACCATTTTATTTGAGCGTGTCAAGAAACATGGTGATTCTTCCCAGTGATAGGAAAGCTGCCAGATTTCTCATTTTGAGTTAATAATATTGATGTTAGAGGTCTTACTAGTCCCTCTTCTGAATGGGGTCATGAGCTCCTACCCTTTAGGTTGCATATTTCCGCATGGCTGTTATGGCCCTATGTGCAGAACAGTTTCAGTCCTAGTGAGCTAGAACCGCTATTTAAATGAGATAATACTGGCTGGTAGTCTACTGTCTGGCCTCTCCTCCAAGGATCAGTCAGAGACTAGCTCCAATGAACTGCACAGCGCAGTATTTGAGATGATAAAGGCTGAATTTCTGAAGGAGATGGCAGACAGTTTGGTCTCGATACCAACGTTAGTATTCTTGCCTCCTTGGCCATTGTATTGACTCTACAGAAATCTCATGCTGTTTCTATATAGGGCCTGTTTATTAGGGGAATATCAAGGTGCCTGAGGACTTTGATTGTTTTGTTTTAACATCAGAGGAGGCCTTTAGATATACCTGAAAGTCCACACATGACCTGGTTAACTCAATTAGCAATATTGATTAACGTGTGAGAGAGAGATTAGAGACTCTGTCCTGTGCCACAATTACATTGTGAGCAGGACTTGCCAAGGACTCAGAAGAACCAGTAATGCAGGATAATTGTTTTCCTACTTAACATTTCCTCCTCACACCAATGAAGTGATTAAATTTGTACTTCACTCATTCCCTCCTGGATGTTTTCTCTTTGACAAGGGAAAGTGTTCGACTTGGCTTCTCTCAATAAATCAAGCTCTTCTTTTCATTGGCTGTGTTCTCCCTTAACTAAGAGAATGTTAAAATAATCCTGTCATTCCATTTGCACAGAACCAAGTCCTGCAGATGATTATGACTCTCTAAGAAATAGTAAAATACTGAAAGCTGCAGCAAATTTCACATAAAGATCAACAAGCTGGCAGTAAAGCTGAAGAGTTATAGGGAATCCATCTTTGTTATCTCACTTGTAGTAATCAGACAGAATGCAAACTGCGATATTACCTTCACCAAAGAGCGACCTCATTCCTGTTATCTTCAGATCAGAGAAGATGTGACTACATCCTTTTGTGTGAGGTAAAATTGTGTAGTGGCTTCCTTAGAAGACCCATATTTACATGAATAAAAATTCAATGAGGAGATACTGCTTGAAAATATTTTAGTATAAACATGCAAACAGACAAGTCGTTCAAATATGAGTCTCATTGTCTTTGAGAATGGATGTCTACAGGAATGTTCATTTCCCTCTTCACATTCAGTTCTACCTCGGAGTCTCAGAGGAGTCCTGAAGTCTTCCAGATTCTGCAGTTACTAAGACCCACTTAACACATAGAATTTTCTATGCTGTGTCTGTATGTGCACCAATGAGTACTACTTCATCAAAATCTGGGACTGAAGACTGGGTCCAATAGTGCTGAGGAAAGGAAAAGTCCCCCAGCTGGGGAGGAACAACTACCCAGGAACCAAAAGATGTTGGAGGCCAACCAACCAGAAAATTGAAAGCACCTTTAAATAAAGGACCAGAGGTTCCTGGTGGACACTAGGTTGAATATGAACACCATTACCATTCACATTCTTTCTATAAAGAAAGTGAATGATAACTTGGTCTCTATTAAAAGATGTGTCATAGCAGGTCAGGGGAGGTAATCCTTCCCCTCTGCTTAGCACTTTTCGGGCCGCACCTGGAATACTGCATCCATTTCTGGGCTCTCCACTACAAGAGATTACATTGATGTATTTGGGTTCCAACAAAGTGTCTCGAAGATGATTAAAGGACTAGAGCATCTCTGATATGAGGAAAGGCTGAGAGCATTAGCCTGTTCATCCTGGAGATGAAAAGATTCAGAAAAGATCAGCTGAGACAGAGGAAATGGGCACACAGAAAATGTGGGAGGCTGCATCTGAACTTCAGGAAAAACTTTTTGACTCTGAGGCTGAATCAGCAATGGAACAGGTTTCCCAGAGAGAAATCTTCATTGTTGTGGATGTTTAACAGCCATCTAACCTCTCCTTCATTTCCTTGCCCTTGTCACAACATTTTTCTGAGATTTAGACCTCTCTGAAAAGGCTTTAGGTTTCTAAAACTGGCTTATAGGGACCTAGGGACGCAATGCTCAATCCCCTAAGCACTGCTGGGTGATTGCCAATACTGAAGAGACATACATTTGCTAACCACTTCATTTTCATGCTAGGCCTGGCTTTGGCTGACTGCATGCCTCGAGCTGCCTGGTGATGAGCTTCTCTCCTGCCTATTATACATCTGGGTCCACTGCTTAGGAAATTCAACAGGAAAAAAAAAAAGAGCGAATAAGAAGAGCTCTACTGAGAAAACTGGCTTTGTCACTGGCAACTGGAAATTCAAGACTTTCAGTTCCCAAAGTCAGGCATCTAGTCTAGGACGCTCAGCTGCTGATGGCAGGGCCCCACAGGAAAGCAGCTGCAGCTACTTAGTGCTTCATCTCAGCTGCCAAGGGATGCTGCCTGGACAGTGCAGATGCTGCAGCTTCCCAGGAAGTGGGAGACTGAAGCTCCCTCCTCTACCTGCGGGGAGGAACCCACAGCTCTCACATTCTGGGAGATGGCCTCATCCATCTCTGCTCCTCCCAGGCTTTGCTCTTTGTTCATGGTCTTCTGAACCCTGTGCTCACAGCTTCCGAGGCCCTGTTGTCCCCTCCTTGGCCAGACCTATAACCTCTGGGATGCAGGGCTCCATGTGGCATTCATCAACCTGATTTGGATGAGTTTGAGCTCCAGGTTGAGGCCCAGACACCCAGAATTTGGGTGCTGCAGTGTCAGAGCCCTCCTCAGCAAAGCTCTTCATGCAGAAGTCAGTGCCTGGTGCTGGCTTTTACACCAATTCTCACAAATCATTTTTCTTACCTTGTCCATGTGTTAACTACTGACTTTTGTTAATGACCAGGAGAAGAACATGCTGAAATTTAACAGTTTTTAAAGCAGCTCACATGACAACACCCATTTCCTATATTCACTCTTCAGAACTACTAGTGAATCCCTCTTTCCCATGCTATCAGCACTGTACTGGCATGTTTGCCAGCCCCAGTGCTCTGGTATACGTAACACTGTGTTTTTTGGACTGTGTGAATGTGTTTAAGGTATCTTTGATGAGATGTGAGGAATGTATCAGGCACAGAGAATCTGGAATGTCTAATTATTTCTAGAGCTGTGACTGACTAGAGGGATTTTTCTGTGAACTGTAGGTAGGAAAAAACTGTGGGAGTCTTTTCTAGATAAATTATCTTTCCTTGGGTTATAGGTATGGAGATACCCGGATAAGATAAAATGTTTTCAGCAAAAGAATGGAGCATCTCTTGCTCACTGGCACTGATCTGCAGATCAGAAGTCTCGAGAGGTTATAACTTCTCTCACAGCACGCATTGGTGCACAAGGTCACAACAACAAATGCACATGCCTCTGCGTGTGTGTGCTCCTTCTGATATCTCTGAAGTTGCCTCACATTGCTCTCAGAGGAATCAGCTTAAAAATCCAGTTAGAACCCAATCTCTCACTTACTGCAGCTTTTGCCTGATCTTCCTGCTGTACTTGTAGCACTTGTGTTGTACATCCGCATTTTTGCTTTCAGGATTTTACCATCACAACTGCCAATTTCTCTTTCAACATCCTGTTCTATCTATTGTACAGCTGGGGTAGCTGCAGCACACACATACCAAGCGATCCACTCTGGGTCATACAGTGAGTCGGTGGGAAAGCCAGCAATAGAATCCATAAGTCCCGCATCCAAGTTCTCTAAGTGCCTTGACTAGTCCAGATTCCCTCCTTAACACCCTTGTCAAATTGTTTATAGGAGATGTATTCATATAGTCCGTAAGACATCAAAATTTTCTAATTATATCTAGTCATGTCAAATGACAATTATGCCCTTAGTTCAGTTTGCCAGACAATGCTTTACCAAAGAAGGCTTGCCAAAAATTTTTTGACCGAAGAAAGAGTAGGCATCTGTAGCATCTGCAGATGAGATCGTATAAAATGTCCCTGCAGCAAGAGTGCCCTGTCTCCACGGAAAGCTCCAAGGTAAGTGGATGGGGTCCGCAGCCATGCAGGAGTCTTTCTGTGTTACAGCATTCCTCTGCCTCCAGTGCTCGTTTCCAGGAGGAAGCTCAATTCCTCAGCTCGAGTTTTAAATCTGCTTTCAAGACACCTGCACATTTTCACTCTGGAATTCTGTGCCAAGTAGGAACTTGCCATTTCTGTTTTGCAGCACTGACCAGCTGCCAGGCTGTGAGCCACCCATCTGGTATCACGAGAGGTAAGAACCTGATTTATTCATGCTTTTGAGTGGGATTTCTGTATGGATGAGCGATCGCCTTTTTTACCCTGCATTCAAAGCCAGTGTGATTACAGTAGGCAGCTGGTGGGTGCTCATGGCTGGTGAGGTTTTCAAAAGGTTGTGTTTCTATCTTCCTGTCTCTGATGGCAGACCAGAAAATTCCCATTGGAATACTCTTCATTTCTGCTTAACTGACCAAACAGGGAGTGAGGCGTGCCAGCTTCACATCATTGCAGCAGTAGAACTGGAATAAGATGAACAAAGGAGGAAAAAGTGCAAAACTGTATATTTTTCATCAAAATGTTATCAACAACTCATCGAACAATACCAACCTTCTTACCATCTTTGTACATCTTTGTAAAATGTTGAAGCTCTTTCAAATATCCATTTACCAGACCAAAAGCAAAACAAAACCTTCTTAGCTAATGAACAGAGGGAATAAATTTCACTAACATAGCTAGAGAAATTTCAAGTGCAGCTGGAGAAATCTAGATATCCACATTTTTAGCGAAGCATCTGAAGAAGCACTCTTATTTTATTGAAGTTTTTAGAAGTCACCTGTTCCTGGATTTTTTCAGTATTTATTTGGGAGCTTTGTCCAGCTATGGCAATTCCAATTTCAGTGCATGAATTTTGTTTCATACAAGTCAGAACTTTGAAGATGAGACTATTTGGGTATTGTACTCATGAATGACAAATGTCTAAACAAATTGAATTACAGCAGAGTGTTAAAAGGTCATAGATCCTGCCCTTTTCTTTCTGCTGGCAACTTCAGTAGCAAAATTCATTAATTTCCACTGCCTTCCTATTACAATTATAGTTAATAAGTAAATGCCCCATAGGTTCAATGTTTTTCAAGACTGTAGGTCTTTTATACTACATGTTTATAGAAGTGTTTCTTTGTCTTTAAACAAAATGCTTCACCTTTATTTCAACTGCTGGTAATGATGTCTTAAAATAAAACTTGCTCAGCAACTTCACTCATCTTACAGACATGATGTTCTTAAAGCCCCAAGCCTGCAATTGTTAAAGGTGATCAGATACAGCTCTTCTAGACGTCTGAACACATAGACTTCATCAGTTATGAGCTCTTGTTTCCTAAGTCAACCTAAGTCAATCAAATCTTCCATTAGGACACGTTAGATACTCCATATAGTACAGGCTGAAGAAAAACAAAGTCACAGTCAGTCTCCCAGTCTGACAGAATATATCTAAATGATCTGTGCCACATTACTTCTCCCCATTAGAATATTCTGCTAAGGTGCCTTCAGTGAAGAGCAGCCATGGCTTCTTCAGATGCTGAGATGGCTGTCTTTGGAGAGGCAGCTCCCTACCTCCGAAAGTCAGAGAAGGAAAGAATCGAGGCCCAGAACAAGCCTTTTGATGCCAAGTCATCTGTCTTTGTGGCCCATCCAAAGGAATCCTTTGTGAAAGGGACAATCCAAAGCAGGGAAACAGGGAAGGTCACTGTCAAGACTGAAGCTGGAGAGGTGAGAAAAAAGCAAGCTTCAGATCAGCATTTAATCATCACTCTGAGCTTTTAGCTGACATAGGCAGATCTTTCACTTCCTTTACAGACTCTGACCGTGAAGGAAGATCAGGTCTTCTCCATGAACCCTCCCAAGTACGATAAAATTGAGGACATGGCCATGATGACCCACCTCCACGAACCCGCTGTGCTGTACAACCTCAAAGAGCGTTATGCAGCCTGGATGATCTACGTAAGTACCAGCAGCTCTCTTCCTTGGCTGGTAGCTGGGGAGGACTGCTGTGCCAGGCTGAGTGGAAGCCATCGTGCCGTGTCCCTTCCTCGCAGACCTACTCGGGCCTCTTCTGTGTCACTGTCAACCCCTACAAGTGGCTGCCGGTGTACAACCCGGAGGTGGTGTTGGCCTACCGAGGCAAAAAGCGCCAGGAGGCCCCTCCACACATCTTCTCCATCTCTGACAACGCCTATCAGTTCATGCTGACTGGTGAGTGCCTGATCTCCTTCAAAGCAGTCTGAACTGAAGAGCCCCATTGCTCTTACTGGAGTATGTGAAAAGCCAGTGAAAACATCATGGAGCTGTGTGACAGAAATTGATCAAGTTAAGGAGGAACTGATTTCAAGCAAATGGTACCAGAAGCATGCACAGCACTGTGTATTATTTCTAGCATATCATACCAAATGCTACAGTCTCTCAATGCAGAAATAACAGTGGACTCATAACTTACTTTTTTGCAATGACTGAATTCAGCACATTATTATTCCATACGGAGTTTTACTTTGAACAGAGGTAGGCAGCTTGATCAGACTCGTGTGTATGAGAAGTATGAGAATGTATGTGAAGGGCAAGAAGATACACAGTTTGTGTGAGGACCATGTGCCTCTTACAGTTGTATGTGTCCACTTGAGTTTATACTTGCCACTTGGGATATGGAAGGAAACCTATTATTTACTTCAGGGAATTAATGCTTGGATTTTCTGACGAAGCTCCAACTTACACTTTCAGTCAGCTCACTGCTACACAGAACAACAGCTAACACTGGACTTCCTAGGGTTTTCACTGTCTTCTGTCCCTGCAGTTCCTGCAGATTTCCATTCGTATTTGTCTCCTAGATTTTGTGTTTCTTGTTATTCATGAGCAGTAGGAAAAGCTTTTTTATCTCTGTCTTTTCACAGACCGCGAGAATCAGTCGATCCTGATCACGTAAGTACGCTCCCGCTCGGGTCCCTGCGGGGCTGCCCTGTGCAAGGGGACCTTCTCCCTGACCTCACGCTCTCTGCTTCTCTGTTTGGCTCGACAGCGGAGAATCCGGTGCAGGGAAGACTGTGAACACGAAACGTGTCATCCAGTACTTTGCAACAATTGCAGCTAGTGGGGAGAAGAAGAAAGAGGAGCAGTCTGGAAAAATGCAGGTACATTAAGAGATACTGGCTTGAATCAATGTTTATTCTGTTCTAGCATGAATTTTAGAAAATAATAATTATCCAGTAATAATTGTTATCCTGTAGGGAACGCTTGAGGATCAAATCATCAGTGCCAACCCTCTGCTGGAGGCCTTTGGAAATGCCAAGACTGTGAGGAATGACAACTCCTCACGCTTTGTACGTCGCTACTGCCCTTACAGTAATGATGGGGCGAGTGATATTCTTAAATAAGGAGTTGTCCGAAGAAGCCATCCAGGCTGAAATGCTCCTCTGTTTCCTCAACAGGGTAAATTCATCAGAATCCATTTTGGGGCCACAGGCAAACTGGCTTCTGCTGACATTGAAACTTGTAAGAGACCCTCCCGGCCTGTTCAAATTCCTTCCCAAATTCCCATCGCCATGTACCATCTTGTACCTGACTCTTTTCTCCTTCCTTGACAGATCTGCTGGAAAAGTCCAGAGTTACTTTCCAGCTCAAGGCAGAAAGAAGCTACCACATTTTTTATCAGGTCACCTCCAACAAGAAGCCAGAGCTAATTGGTAGGAGACATCACTGAGCTTTTTGGAGGCAGATTTCAGAGCAATAGTTGATAACTTTACGAAAAGAATGAAATGTAATCTGTGAACATCCATTTGTTTTCAGAAATGCTCCTTATTACCACCAACCCGTATGACTACCCTTTTGTGAGTCAAGGTGAGATCACTGTCCCCAGCATTGATGACAAGGAGGAGCTGATGGCTACAGATGTGAGTAGTGCATAAAACAGGTCAATTGTTACACGTCATGCATCATATTCAGACAAATATTTCACTATACTGAATCTATTACCAGAGTGCCATTGACATCCTGGGCTTCACTGCTGATGAAAAGACTGCCATCTACAAGCTGACAGGGGCTGTCATGCATTATGGGAACTTGAAGTTTAAGCAGAAACAGCGAGAGGAGCAGGCAGAGCCAGATGGCACAGAAGGTATTGTTAAACTCAGTAGCTAATGGTCCTTTGAGCCACTCTGTGTCTTAGCCAAAGTTGGGCTTTAAAATCCCAAGGAAAACAGTAAGTCAGAAGCAGTCCCTTCTCCACCCATTGTATCAGTTTCTCTGATGTAAAATCTCTGGATTTGTCTATCGTATCCCAAATTAACAATTTAAACTGTCCTGTGTACACTGCCAGGAAGCCAGGAGCTGTGGATGTCTTTTCTGAAATGTTATTGCTCATACTTTTGTTGGACATAGCTTATAACCCTTGTGGAACAGTGAAGTGGTTCAGCCCTAACAAAATGGGTGGTCACGTTCCTTTTCTCCCTCACCTGTCAGATGCTCAGGGAACTCTGTTGTGAAAGGTGCATTTGTTTCCACTCTGTTGGGGTAGGATCTTGAAACCATGTCTCCAAATTTCTCAGTGATGGCTCCTTCTTGCCAAAGGACTGGGCAGAAGGTGGGAAGTACCGCAGTCGCATCTGAGAAAGGACAGAATCCAATGAGTTTCACTCCTGAGACATGTGCATACCACAAAACTGTTCAGCTTTCAGTTTTGTAAAATTTTAACAAAGCATCATTACATTTTGCATGCCTCAATGAAGAACTTCAAACATAAGTTCTTTCAAAAAGCTCAACACACATAATGGTTTTGATGTCACTGAGACTCTTTCTGCAGTGCTTGGAGAAGACTTCAAGATACAAAATGTTAGTAATGCTGAATTCTTCTTTTCCATCTCGCTTTGCCATTTAGTGGCTGACAAGGCTGCCTACCTGATGGGCCTGAATTCAGCTGATATGCTCAAGGCACTGTGCTACCCTCGAGTCAAAGTTGGGAATGAGTATGTGACCAAAGGTCAAACTGTGCAGCAGGTTAGAAACACAGTCACCTGAAACCATGCTTTGAATTAAGACCTCTTTGATTCTTCTCTGCTGCGTATGGTAAATGCAAACATCTGCCTTTGCTTTAGGTGCACAATGCTGTAGGTGCTCTGGCAAAGGCTGTCTATGAGAGGATGTTCCTGTGGATGGTTGTTCGCATCAACCAGCAGCTGGACACCAAGCAGCCCAGGCAGTACTTCATTGGTGTCCTGGACATCGCTGGCTTTGAGATCTTTGATGTGAGTAACAAAGATTTGTAAGAGCTGCTTGGAAGTCACAACTGGGTGTTATGACAACTTTAACATCCATATTATCATCACATAATTTATTGTAATTGTTTTGGAACTTGATGAACTTTAAGCTACTAGCTTAGCTTACTAGCTACTCTAGCTACTCTTTGAGTGTATGGTCCTATTTGCCTTTTTTTTTCTTCCTATAAAGTAGATTTGACCCTTGAAAGGATTTTTTCATGACTATAGGCTCATTATCAAGAGGTAAAAACTCAAAAGAGCAGAATGGTTCGAACAGAAAAATTCTTTCGTTTAAATGATCAAAGACAGCATAAGAGATACAGATCATGATACAAATAACCTTTTTTCTATAGCGTGGCCTCAGATGAGGAATGAAGTATATTCTACCTTCTCAGATTTATCAAGGATTAAAATATTGCTACAAACAACGATTTTTAAGCATTTCTCAATTTTGCTACATAGACTTAAAGCTGAATTAAGAAATACGCAGGCACAACGAAACCAATACTGCCGCTTTCTGTATTTTTAAAGGATGAGGTTTTGCAGTTACTATTGCATCTTGCAAATATGAATCTTTATCATTTTACTCCCAGTTCAACAGCTTTGAGCAGCTGTGCATCAACTTCACCAATGAGAAACTGCAACAGTTTTTCAACCACCACATGTTTGTGCTGGAACAAGAGGAGTACAAGAAGGAAGGCATTGAATGGACATTCATTGACTTTGGGATGGACCTGGCTGCCTGCATTGAGCTCATTGAGAAGGTATGAGCATAGGAATTTTACAATTACTAGAGCTCAGTTTTCAAAGGAATCTTCCATGTTCATAAGCAAATATTTAGATTTCGTTGTTCAAAAATATATTGCTGTTTAGTTTATTTCATCTGCAGGTGAGACATTAGAGCTGTGTCACACAGCTTTATGGCAGCAGGTTTGCACTGATCTCTTCTGAAGTGCTAAAAGGTTGTTAAATTCTCAATCAAAATGTTTTCTCAAAACAGCTAGAATAAGTTCCCAGTTGAGCTTCCACCTCACCTCTCAGCTCTGACAGACTTGTGCTCCCACAGCAATACAGCTGTATCTTTGTAAAATAAACTCAGAGATGGAGATGCATAATTGATAGCAAGCAGTTGCACTTACATGTACATCCTTTGACTTAGAATAAGAAAGCAATCACATTAGATACAGGATGCAGTGTTCAGTGGCTGACAGGATGATAAGAAATTAGAATCACAGAATTTCAGAGTGCAAAGGATCTGTGAGGTCACTTAATCTAACCCCCTTGGTCACATAAGGGTCAACTAGAACAGGTTTCTGAGGACCACAAAGCTCTGTTTTGAATATCTCAAGTGATAAACTTGGATAACGATAACCTGTTTCAACAATTGACCATCCTCTTATTTTGTGTGTGTTCCACCTTGTCAGGTCACTGGGAAGCATAAGTGCCCTGAAAACTGAATTGCTGATTTTCTCTCCCATGTATTTTTCCCAGCCCATGGGCATCTTCTCCATCCTGGAAGAGGAGTGCATGTTCCCCAAGGCAACTGACACTTCTTTCAAGAACAAGCTTTATGACCAGCATCTGGGCAAGTCCAGCAACTTCCAGAAGCCCAAGCCTACCAAAGGAAAGGTTGAGGCCCACTTCTCCCTCATACACTATGCTGGAACAGTGGACTACAACATCACTGGTTGGCTTGAGAAGAACAAGGACCCCCTGAACGAAACTGTCATTGGGTTGTACCAGAAATCTTCACTGAAAACTTTGGCCTTACTGTTTGCCAACTATGGGGGAGCAGAAGCAGGTCAGCTCTTTGAAACATGTATTTTCACCAGTTTACAAAGTAGAAAAAGTATCATAAAAGGTAAAAACAAAAATATGAAATCTCTTATATTTATTTCTCCATTCTGCAGACGCTAGTGGTGGAGGCAAGAAAGGTGGCAAGAAGAAGGGTTCTTCTTTCCAGACTGTCTCAGCTCTTTTCCGGGTACAATACAGAGTTCAATATTTTTTTCTAAGATGAGGAGGAAATTCACTACTTAAAATAGTTTTTCCCCTTCCCCCCCCACCCTCTTGCTTGTGATAAAAAAGAAGCCCTGAAGTTCTTGGGCCATGCTTTGATAGGAGTAAACCCACTGTAACTTAATTCTGCTCTTCCACTGAATGCACAAATTTTCTTTTCATCCACTTTTCACAAGACAGTGTCTTCAGATGGAACAACATTATACAGGAAACTTTTAAGAAACATCTAAAATATGCATATTTCCTTCAAGTGCCCTCCTCTAGCTTCAGAAACTTTGATTGCCCTGTAACAATATTCTTTCTGCCTGCTGGTTTCCTTCAGTCATATATCTAATATTTTTTTCATGATTAATGGATCAGCCTCTTAAGGTTGAAATACCATCACACCTTGGGATGTGGATTTTTAAGATGTTGTATACTTGACCGTTATTTTCTCATAACCAACTCTTGCTGCCTGTCAGCACCATACATATCTAAACTCTCCTCGAGGCTATTTATTATATTCATCCTTCATTTAGTGTTCCCTTCTTAATATAAATTAGTTCCTTCTACAGAAAGGTGTTGAGACTGCTTTTTTGGAAACATGCCCTGGAGGTACCTGCCTCCCTCCACTAATTATACACAATAATCATTTACAAAAACTTACTCAGATATTAGTTACAAACCAACAGTGCAATTCATCTCACCTCATTCTCATCTCACAAGTGAAAGATGCAACCTAGACATATAATACTCAGCTTGTTGTTTTTGTTCTATGTAGTGTGATCCACTTTAAATGCATACTGTAGTATGCTTCAAACTGGCTCACAGAGCTATCTGTATATCTCTCCTGGTACGCATAATGGAAGATGGGTATCATTTTTACTGAACGCATTCCACTAGATTCAGAGAAATGTCACAAAATTGTATGTATTGTATGAGAGTACAGTATCTCCTACAGACAAAACAGACAAATTTTCTACATTAAGTGAATAATCATATATGGAAACTCAGAAAAACTGGTGCAGGTGGTGTCAGCTCAGGATTCTGCAAGCTAATGTTTGTTTGATAATGTTATCTCATTACAGAGGGCTTGATGCTTACAGTGAGATTCTATTTGCTAATATAAACTTTTGTTGATGATTCTCCCAGGAGAACTTAAACAAGCTGATGACCAATCTGAGAAGCACCCACCCCCATTTTGTACGCTGTATTATCCCAAATGAAACAAAAACGCCTGGTAAGAGACTCACTCACAGACAACCTTCAGTATCTCTTCTCTGCTGTACTACACTCTCATACAGCACTCATTTGTACTCTGAATTGCTAGGTGCCATGGAGCATGAGCTGGTTCTGCACCAGCTGAGGTGTAACGGCGTGCTGGAAGGGATCAGAATTTGCAGGAAAGGATTCCCCAACAGAGTCCTGTATGCAGATTTTAAACAGAGGTCAGACTGCATTCAATTCCTGGATTTTGTCCATCTTGAGCTTACAAAATTTAAACCTCACCTCTGGTGACAAAAGCATTCTCTTAGCATTTACATCTAGCAGTGGAGTTATGTTGTCTTTCTTGCAGGTAACTGATCACAACAACAGACCTGTTTATATTACCATTTTGTCCCCCAGATATAAAGTACTAAATGCAAGCGCTATTCCAGAGGGACAGTTCATTGACAGCAAGAAGGCTTGTGAGAAACTTCTTGGATCGATTGATATAGATCACACTCAGTATAAATTTGGTCACACCAAGGTACCAGAAGTGTTTGTTTAAAGTACTGTGTGCTTTTTGTTTTGTAAAGCTTGAGGGTGATACTGAGATTCTTCAGATAGCATGGGAAATAATCAAACAATAAGTTTAAAACACATAAACTAAATACTAATTGACTCAATACTTTGAAATTCATTGATGGAGAATGATTCTAATTAAGGGTTCCTAATTGAAGACAAAGTTGTAGAATAGAAGAATCAAGAATTAATAAGAACAATGGAATAAGATAGTTTTTCATGTACTGTAATATCACTATAATAGCCAGACCAGCATGACTGAAGATATTAAAGAGGAATTCACATGGTAACTACACATATTCTTTGTGTTTTTGCTCTTTCTCTTAACTTCTGTGATATCTGCCATGGAGAAACTGGTTACTTGGCTACAGTGACCAATGAGCACATACACTGCACTTATTTTCGTTTTACGATCTAAGGTGTTCTTCAAAGCTGGGCTGGTTGGCCTTCTGGAGGAGATGAGGGATGAGAAACTGGCACAACTCATCACTCGCACACAGGCCAGGTGCAGGGGTTTCCTGATGAGAGTGGAGTACCAGAAAATGGTGGAGAGGAGGTAGACATTTCTTTAAATTAGGTTTACTGGGTTTTATATACATTGTGTCATCCAAGTCTAAACTGCCAATATTTATTTGACTTATCTTTCAGAGAGTCCATCTTCTGCATCCAGTACAACATTCGTGCATTCATGAATGTCAAGCACTGGCCCTGGATGAAGCTGTTCTTCAAGATCAAGCCCCTGCTGAAGAGTGCAGAGTCTGAGAAGGAGATGGCAAACATGAAACAAGAGTTTGAGAAGACCAAGGAAGAGCTTGCAAAGTCTGAGGCAAAGAGAAAGGAGCTGGAGGAGAAAATGGTGAAGCTGGTGCAGGAGAAAAATGACCTGCAGCTCCAAGTACAGGCTGTGAGTTTATCATTCACTTATCACAGAGAAAATAAGTTTGCATGTTCAGATTTTTCTTCATCAAACAGAAGGTCAGATTACAGAAGACCACAAGTCAGAAATTTGGAGATTTATCGATCATTTGTGTGCAGGCTGTGAGTAATACCAGTGTGACTGATTCTAACTGACTGTGAACTTAAGGCTGACTACATTTTCAAAACACACATTGGAATTACAATTTAATGTAATTAAGTTGTACTTCACTAAGTGCTACAGTGAAAAACAGAACTAGCTATGGTAAGAACTGTCAGAAGGCTACAGTCATGGCATTTCAAGACCGCATGGATACCAGAGGTTGAGACATTTCACAAAATCATAGAACAGCACATCCTGAGTAAGAAGGAACCCAAGAATGATTTGGTCCAACTCCCAGGTTAACACAGGATTTCCTCAAATTCAAACCAAGTTTCTGAGAGCATCAACAAAACAATTCTTGAATACTGACAGGTTCAGTTCCATGACCTGGGGAGCCTGCTCCAGAGCCCAACCGCCCTAGTGGTGAAGAACCTTTTCCTAATATCCAATCTCCTGATGCAGCTTCATGCTGTTTCATCAGGGACTACTGCTGGTCACCAGTTCTGTGGTTTTGGCTGAGACCATTAGCACTTACATTCAGTTGAACTGCATCAGAGCAATTAAGAAATTTTACTTTTAGTATTATATTTTTGTTCTTCTATTTATGTTTTCCAACCTCTCCAAAACAGAGAATGTCTATCCTTATAAATACATGACTTTAGGGAATACAAAAGACGGCATTTCTTCTTTCTGTATCCCAATTAAACAAGATAATTTCTTCCTTTCCAATGTAGGTGGAGTTCATCTCACCCTCTAAAAGTACTCAGAAGCACTAGATAAAATTACACGGTACATCTATGAGGTTTTAATCCTGTGATTTATTTAATCCTGTGCAGGCGCTCACTGCTGCCTCATGGCCAGCTTCTCGCCCACCAGGACCCCAAGTCCTTCTGCGCAGGGCTGCTCTCAAGCACATCTTCCCCCAGTCTGTATCAATACCTGGCATTGCCCCCACCCAATGGCAGCACCCTGCACCTGGCCTTACTGAACCCCATTGGGTTCCCATGGGCCCACTTCTCCAGCCTGTCCAGGTCCCTCTGGATGGCTTCCCTTCCCTCCAGTGTATCAATGGCACTGCTCAGTTTGGTGTCATCTGCAAATGCATAGTCCAAATGACTCAATTTCTGACAGCTACTGGATGTGACAAGAGTATTGCAGACAAAAAGCTGAAACTGATGGATGCTGAGTGTTTTTTGAGAAGTGGTGAAAGTCTAAAGCAGAAACAGTTGCTCTAAAAAGCCAGTAGGGTAAAAAGGAGAAATAAAAAATAGTATGAACGTGAGCGTCACTTTGGTATTTGTATGTATGTCTTGGCATATGATTATCACTCAGCATTTGTAAATGCTTGTAATTAGAAGAGAGATTCATATAATTAAACCCACATTTACACACTCTGTTAATTATTACGGGTTAAGATACATATACACATGTATATGTGTTTTAATACTCAGCTCTTCCTGTAGATAAGAAAAGGTTTTGTTTGGCATTAACTTTCAAAACCAGATGTATTAAAAGGAACAATTTAAAATAAATTAAAAATTGTCTCTATTTCTCCTGGAATATAAAACATTTAACTAAAAAATTGCTAGTAAGGAATCTAAATTTATGAAGCTGAAAGTCACACTATTCGCCCAAAGGGCATATCTGAAAAAAATGCATTTCCCCTCAGGAAGCTGATGCATTGGCTGATGCTGAAGAAAGATGTGACCAGCTCATCAAAACCAAAATCCAGCTGGAAGCCAAAGTAAAGGAGGTGACAGAACGAGCTGAGGATGAGGAGGAAATTAATGCTGAGTTGACAGCCAAGAAGAGGAAACTGGAGGATGAATGCTCAGAGCTGAAGAAAGATATAGATGACCTGGAGTTAACGTTGGCCAAGGTTGAGAAGGAAAAGCATGCCACTGAGAACAAGGTATGAGGCAGAAGTTGTCACTCTGGAAAGAATTCTGCTTTGATACACAGTATGAAATTGTAAACAACATTTTTTATATACATTTACTTTCCACTTGTCAAAGGTGAAAAACCTCACAGAGGAGATGGCAGCCCTGGATGAGACCATTGTGAAGCTGACAAAAGAGAAGAAAGCCCTCCAAGAGGCCCATCAGCAGACACTGGATGACCTGCAGGCTGAAGAGGACAAAGTCAATACGCTGACCAAAGCTAAAACCAAGCTGGAGCAGCAAGTGGACGATGTAAGCAAAATGCATATAGCCATTACAGGACAGTTGTGGAGATAAATATGGCTGGCAGAGCACTGATGATCCCATTCCGTTTAGCTGGAAGGGTCCCTGGAGCAAGAGAAGAAGCTGCGCATGGACCTTGAGAGAGCAAAGAGGAAACTTGAAGGAGACCTGAAGTTGGCCCATGATAGCATAATGGATTTGGAAAATGATAAGCAGCAGCTGGATGAGAAACTGAAGAAGTAAGTGAGGTTGTGGGACACCTGAGTGCTGGGGAGTTGGGAGTTTTGTTCAGGCACTAACATCATTTGCTTTGTGCAAAAGGAAAGACTTTGAAATCAGCCAAATCCAGAGCAAAATTGAGGATGAACAACTTCTGGGCATGCAGTTACAGAAGAAAATTAAAGAGTTGCAGGCAAGTCTCTGGTTCTTTTCCTCTATCACACAGACTGAGGTCAGGTGTGAAGGGTTGAAGAATATGGGTGTGAAGGGTTCCTGATGCTCCCCAGGCCCGTATTGAGGAACTGGAGGAGGAAATCGAGGCAGAGCGAACCTCTCGGGCCAAAGCAGAGAAGCACCGAGCTGACCTCTCCAGGGAGCTGGAGGAGATCAGTGAGCGCCTGGAGGAAGCAGGAGGGGCTACGGCAGCTCAGATTGAGATGAACAAGAAGCGTGAGGCAGAATTTCAGAAGATGCGCCGTGACCTGGAAGAGGCCACGCTGCAGCACGAAGCCACGGCTGCCGCCCTGCGGAAGAAGCATGCGGACAGCACAGCGGAGCTTGGGGAGCAGATCGACAACCTGCAACGAGTCAAGCAGAAGCTGGAGAAGGAGAAGAGTGAGCTGAAGATGGAGATTGATGACTTGGCCAGCAACATGGAGTCTGTCTCCAAAGCCAAGGTACAGGATACTTTTATTAGCACTTTCTCAACAGTATATTTATGTTCAATCTTACCTTGCTTCAACATTGTCAGCTGTATTTTCTCAGAATAGAACAGATAAAACCCTAATTAATGCACATTGTCGCTAAATATGTAAACTGTATCTTCTGGCCACTTTTTCCTTCTGTAAATAAAATGGAGCCTGGTATTCACTCTGTTTTCTTATGTATGTTTGATAACTAGGCAAACCTGGAGAAGATGTGCCGCACTTTGGAAGACCAACTGAGTGAATTTAAAACAAAGGACGAGCAGAATCTGCGCATGATCAGTGATCTCAGTGCTCAAAGAGCTCGCCTGCAAACAGAATCTGGTTAGACACCTCATCTCTAGCTTGGAAATAATATATTAACCTTAAGGGCATAATTTAATTTAAGATTGGCTGCTGAAATATTTTCTGACTAAAAACATTTTCCAGGTGAATACGCACGCCAGGCGGAGGAAAAAGATGGTTTAATTTCTCAGCTGTCCAGAGGGAAACAGGCCTTTACGCAACAGATTGAAGAACTAAAGCGGCAACTAGAAGAAGAGATAAAGGTGAAGACCATTCATGGTTTCCATGCAAATCCAACAGTTCAAAAAGTGATCTACTTAAGAGTACTTAATAAATGACTAGAACATGTAGTCTAGGCCCTGTCAGTGCAGACTCCCAGGTTTCTATAGAGTACTGAGATTTGGCTTCATTTTTTTCATGCTGTGCATAAATCACTGTTTATCTTGGGAGAAAATACAGTGTTCAGGTGATAGTAAGAGGAGATTTCCCAGAATACCATAATTCCTTATTGCAATAATTTAATTCCTAGGCCAAGAACGCCCTCGCCCACAGCTTGCAATCTGCCCGCCACGACTGTGACTTGCTCCGGGAACAATACGAGGAGGAGCAGGAAGCCAAGGGTGAGCTGCAGCGTGCCCTGTCCAAGGCCAACAGCGAAGTGGCCCAGTGGAGAACCAAATATGAGACGGACGCTATTCAGCGCACAGAGGAGCTGGAGGAGGCCAAGTATGTGGAGGGGAAGGCTGGTAGAAAGTAGTGGAAATTTGAAGAAATCTCTGACATACTGAAGGGCAAAAGACAAATAGCAGTTTGGAGAGGAGTGATAAGAAGGGAAATTTGTGCTGTTGAGATGGTGGTTTCAAAAGGACAAATAGGCAACGTGATAGAATGCAAGACAAAGGCAGTGTATGATGTATGCAGTGAGATGAGGAATTGAGGAATTTCTAGACTTGAGGAAAGGAAAAGGGAATAAAGTTTGGGAGACGCTCTGCATTAGGTGCATCTGGGGAGAACACTGTGAAGTGCCTAAGTACGGTAGTGAAAAAGACAGAAAAATCTCCACTTTGCTCCCAAAGTCTGAGCTGTGCTTACAACCTTCCAGGAAGAAGCTGGCACAGCGCCTGCAGGAGGCAGAGGAACACGTTGAAGCCGTGAATGCCAAATGTGCTTCCCTGGAAAAGACAAAGCAGAGGCTGCAGAATGAGGTGGAGGACCTGATGATCGACGTGGAGCGAGCAAATGCTGCCTGCGCAGCTCTGGACAAGAAGCAGAAGAACTTTGACAAGGTATTCTGGGCTCCAGGCCTGTGTTTTCTGAGCAGAACGTGATTGTCGCATCCGAACTCACGATCTGTTTTTCCTCAGATCCTGGCGGAGTGGAAGCAGAAGTACGAGGAAACGCAGGCTGAGCTGGAGGCCTCCCAGAAGGAGTCTCGCTCCCTCAGCACAGAGCTGTTCAAGATGAAGAATGCTTATGAGGAGTCCCTGGACCACCTGGAAACGCTGAAGCGTGAGAACAAGAACTTGCAGCGTAAGTCGCTCAGCCTTTCCTGCTGGCAGGGCTTTCTCAGAAGCTCTCCTGCCCACCTCTCCACCTGGATCTGTGCCTGCAGTGATGGGAGCAGACCTGTTATGCTGGGGTCACAGGGCCTTTCCCTCTATGCTCTATACCTGACCATGTGAATGTTCATTCTTCTCTACAGAGGAGATTTCTGACCTCACGGAGCAGATTGCAGAGGGAGGAAAGGCGATTCATGAGCTGGAGAAAGTCAAGAAGCAGATTGAGCAGGAGAAGTCTGAAATCCAGGCTGCCTTGGAGGAAGCTGAGGTACATGCTCATAATAACCGGCATCCACACTAAAAATATCAGCAGGGAGGAAATCTGACGAAGAAAGGCATGGTTGTCCTCTGTTCTGGCTACAGGGCATACCTACCTCAGATTTCCTGAGATATTCCGTATTCAGCTAGAAAGTAAGAAGTCGTTTTACTTACATGGATAAATGATGACAATTATTTGTCCAGGCCTCCCTGGAACATGAAGAGGGGAAGATCCTGCGTCTCCAACTGGAGCTCAACCAGGTCAAGTCTGAGATTGACAGGAAGATAGCAGAGAAAGATGAGGAAATTGACCAGCTGAAGAGAAACCACCTCAGAATTGTGGAGTCCTTGCAGAGCAGCCTGGATGCTGAGATCAGGAGCAGGAATGAAGCCCTGCGGCTGAAGAAGAAGATGGAGGGAGACCTGAATGAAATGGAGATCCAGCTGAGCCATGCCAACCGTGTTGCTGCAGAGGCACAAAAGAACCTGAGAAACACGCAGACAGTCTTGAAGGTCTGTTCAGCAAAATACACATAAGGGAATGTTTTCCCTGACATTTTAGTCACCTTGGGTTTGCTGTGCCCCTTGTCGTTTCTCTCGTCTCTTCTACAGGATACCCAGATACACTTGGACGATGCTCTCAGGACTCAGGAGGACCTGAAGGAGCAGGTGGCCATGGTGGAGCGCAGAGCAAACCTGCTGCAGGCTGAGATTGAGGAGCTACGGGCAGCCCTGGAGCAGACGGAGCGCTCGAGGAAAGTGGCTGAGCAGGAGCTTCTGGATGCAAGTGAGCGTGTGCAGCTCCTCCATACCCAGGTGAGGCCTTGATGCTCCAACTAGTTGTGTAGACACTGTTATAGTGGCAGGAAATAGTGGTGCCAACAATGAGAACATGGTCACAGTCCATCAGCTTAGCCCACCACTGAAATTGTGTAAACAGCCATTTCACAAAGAATTCCACATTTAAAATGCAAAGGTTGAAGAGTAAAGAATTGGTTTAGACTGTAGCTGGTGTATTCCAGGTCTCAGAGTACAAGTCTTGCAATCTCTATTTGTACAGAACACCAGCTTGATCAACACCAAGAAGAAACTAGAAACAGACATTGCCCAAATCCAGAGCGAAATGGAGGATACCATCCAGGAAGCCCGCAATGCTGAAGAGAAGGCCAAGAAGGCCATCACCGATGTGAGTCGTGGCTCTTTCACTGCTGACAGCCGACACATTTCTCCCAAGAAGTCTCTGACTCCAAACTGGCTTTGCTGCTTTGCCTCTCCAGGCGGCCATGATGGCAGAAGAGCTGAAGAAGGAGCAGGACACCAGTGCCCACCTGGAGAGGATGAAGAAGAACCTGGACCAGACGGTGAAGGACCTGCAGCTCCGTCTGGATGAGGCAGAGCAGCTGGCCCTGAAGGGAGGCAAGAAGCAAATCCAGAAGCTGGAGGCCAGGGTGCGTAGGGCTGGTATTCGTGCAAGTGTGTGCAATGCCAGGTCAGAGATAGCAGGGAAGCTCCAAATATTGGCTTTTCATTGCAGGTGCGGGAGCTGGAAGGGGAGGTTGATGCTGAACAGAAGCGCAGCGCTGAAGCTGTGAAGGGTGTGCGCAAGTACGAGAGGAGGGTGAAGGAGCTGACCTACCAGGTAAGGCTGATGGCATCTTTGTGTTGACATAGCATTCTATAGGAAGCCACTGCATTTCTCTATGAAGTCCAAGAGGAAATGTCATTTTGTCGTGTGGGGAAAATAAATTCTTTCCTGTTTACTGTCTGCTTTAGTCTGAGGAAGACCGTAAGAATATTCTTAGACTCCAGGATCTGGTGGACAAACTGCAGATGAAGGTGAAATCCTACAAGAGGCAATCTGAGGAGGCTGTAAGTATCACTCTGAGTAGTGCTAAGAGTGCTCTTCACGGAAAAGAATATGAAAGATATGGGAAGTTTTATTTGTCAATTGTGGTGGGCTTCAAGTTCTTTGACACATTTATTGATCCACTTTGCCTTTCAGGACAAAAGTAGTGAGATGATAAAAAGGAAACAGGCCAAATGCACTTAAATTGTTCTGGAGTATATAATGGAAATTTTCAATTTCTAAAATGCATTTCTTAGCAATAATATAAAGTGCACAATATATTACGAATTTTTCAAAAGAAAATGTTTTTGATCTACTGAGTTTTAAATAAGCGTCTTAAGATAAATGCTCGTGATCCTTTGAAATTCAAAGAACTTGGTAATCATTTGGAAAGACAGGAGCTGGGCTCTTCACGACCAACTCCCTCTCCCTGTACAGGAGGAGCTGTCCAACGTCAACCTCTCCAAGTTCCGCAAGATCCAGCACGAGCTGGAGGAAGCCGAGGAGCGGGCTGACATTGCAGAGTCACAGGTCAACAAGCTCCGAGCAAAGAGCCGGGAGTTCCATAGGAGGATTGAAGAGGAAGAGTGAGGATGTCATGAGGCAGCAAAGCAGCCTGAGGAGTGCACAAAATGTGAACCCTCTGTCGCTTTCTTTTGCAATGCCTTTGTAACCATGTCAGTGTGTAGAGAATAAAAACCATAGATTAATATGCATAAGCACTACAAACAGTGGCTTCCTTGTTGTTGTTGTTATCTCCTTTTTGATCTTTTTCCTTTCGTTTTCCTGAATAAGCTTAGGATATTACTGATGCAGCTACATACATTGTTTTCAGTCTCCTTGCACTACTCTTGCCCTCACATATTGTTAATGCTTCTCCTACTGTCCTGTCAGCACAGCTTACGTGCCATGTGAGTGGCAAGAGAGAGCGATCCCTTCCCTTTTTCCTTCCCTGCTATGGGTTGCAATCATGGCAACCACAGATCCTAAACTCTGGTCTCTAACTAAGCTATCAGATGGCGCAGTGTATCACACCATGAAGGACAGACAGTTCCTCAGCAGAAACAATTTCCTGCAGACACCAAAATTAGTGCACTGTCATGACACTTTGATGGTGCCTCTAAACTGTGCATTTTCTCTTACTTTAGATTCTCTGAGCTGATGCCATCTATTTGTGGTTTCCCTCCAATGTGGCAGAAGGCTGAGCCCTGCCTGGGGCTACCTACCGAAAGGAAGCCCCCTCAGGGTGATTTTCCACACGTTGCATAGAAGAACGCACCTCCTCAGCCCATCACCTGAATGTCAGCCTTGTCAGCTCTTGCACAACTGGCTGCGTGCAGCACAGCCTCAGGCAAGGGAAAAGAAGAAAGCTGATGGGTGTTTTACTCCCAGGTAGATGGACTTATGGCCTACATAAAGGCTGAGCTGACAACATTGTGGAGAGTCTGAGGTTGTAGGGGAAGGGAGAAATTGACAAATACTTTTTATACAGAGGAAAATGTTACAACAAGCACTGATATGAAAGGGAAGGTAATTCACTGAAGATGAAGCACCTATGAAATCAAGAGCCTGTGTCTGTTCTCCTCTGACCTATCACAATATTTACCTGCACAAAGTTACCTGCCGACGCTCCCAGGGATGCGGTCAAAACAAAGCAGGCAGAGGAGTGCCTGAGTCTGGGACAGGCGGGCCTGAGGCCTGCCCTCGTGTCCCCAGCAAATTCTCAGCTCCCTCCTGGCTCCCATCTCCTGGGCTCTCAGGTCCCACCGCATCGCCCAGCAGCTTCACAAGCGTCATCCCCAGAAGCGCTGACAGGCTGCGGGGCTTGTGCACAGAGCTCTGCAGTTGCCTGTGCCAGGAAGATGACTGTCATTTGTCTCCCTTCAATCCTCAGCGCCCAAAGCTCAAAATAACCCCCCTCGCAAGGCTCCTGCGTGGGGCCGGGCCTGCTGCTGTAGATGATACGCCTCCATGAATAGCACTCGAAGACATTCCTCAGCGGGTAGCTTGCCTTCTATATCTCACTGCGGCGTGCTGCCGTGCAGGAGCTGGACAACTGTGCTGTGTCCTAAGATGGCAGATGCTATTCTTGTCCCAGAAAGTCTTGCTCCGTCCGGCACAGCTCCTTTCTCAGCTGAAATGTGAACAGTCAGAAGCCGGCCGGAGGGGCCCCTCTGAAGCCAGTGGAAATGGCAGTGTGTGAACGCAGCCCCTGGGTGCTTGCCCTGCTCTGCTGGGATGTGCTGTGCCACCAGGAGCACGGCTGCTGCACAGCTGCTGTTGGTGTTCAGCTTGGGGTGCGTGTGGTGGGGGTGATCACCTCTCCTGGGTATCAACAAATGAAAAAGGTGAGCTGTTGCCCTCAGAGTTCACAGCTGCTTCTCCTTGCAGCCTCAGTGGGTGAGGGACAAGTCAGAGCTCACTCTCAGCTTCAGAGGCTCGCAGAAAGTTCAGCCCCCACAGGCAATCAGGCAGAGGAAGTCAAGGCCCAGAGGCATCAGCTGGGAGAGTGGCTGCGCCTGTCCCCTCATCCCCTGGCCCGTTTCATCCCCATGAGCTTTCTTTCCCCTCAGCCTCGGGCTCCAGCAGCTCCTGTCAGTCACGGGGGGCTCACGCAGGCACCCCTGCTCTATTTGTGCTCCGGGCACAAGTTGCCAGCAGGTGGCAGAACGTAGCCGCTGAGGCGGTCCCTCCTTCGGGTGCCGTGCGTGCTACAGCCAGCAGCCAGCTCTCAGGAAAGCTGAGCTCTTCTAAACCTGGTGAAACTACCTGGCCCAGATGTTATCACCAAACACGATCAAATGGGTTGAAATCTTATTAGATTTGTCTCGCAACTTTTTGTATCCACTGGACCAGGACAAAGACAGGTTGTCTGGACCAAAAAAGCCTTGAAATTCAGTAGTCATTAATTAATAAATAAGAGACTGAGCTGACATGAACAGGCACTTGTTCCTGTGCAAGGCCTCATTTGCATTGGGCCCTCTGCTGAGAAAAGACACCAATGGGTTCTTTGAAGCATGCGACTATTGGAAGGCCAGTACGAGGCATTAACCACTCTGCCAGCTCCACCACGCACCTGAGTGATCCTTAGGGGAGAGCGACTGTAGCAACTCTTCTGCTAGCTCTGCTCTGGCTGGACCTTTACTGTGCAGGGCTCTACAGGAGAGGCTGGGACTCTGGAACCCTGTCACAGGGGGAAGAAATCCTAACTCTCATCTCCCTCCTCAGCCTCTCCTGTCCTGAAGCTTCATCTTGCAGAGAGTGCCCTGGGAGGTGTGAGAAAAATAGCATGTAAGGTTCTCTTTTCTCTCTGAGATCTGTGAGCAGGACCCTGGGAGACAGCTGCTTTGAGCAGCAGTCACTCACAGGCACTGGACCGCAGGCTGTCTCCCTCTAGCAAGAAAAGTGGCACAACAGGAGACTACCAGTGGGGCAGAAGCAGGTGCTGAGGACCCGACACCTACACTACATGGTTTCCAGGGATAGGTGTGTGAAGGTTCCAGGACACTAATGGCAGTTTGACATGGGAGCACAGCAGAAGTGTCCATGATGCACAGTTGTACTTTAATTAAAAGTTATTACCAGTGTGAGTCTGGAATAGACCTTTGTCCATACGGACTGAAGTCCCTAGGATAAAATTCACTATAGCCAGCAAAGAGCAAAGAGCAAATGAAAGAGCAAAGAGCAAATGAAAGACATTCTTTCATATCATTCTTTTGCATTTAAAAGCAATGATGTTCACTTTCGCACTTGGAAACGATGTAACACATGAGATGCCATTTTCACCACACAGAGAATATTATGATTACTTGGATGGTGACCATGACACTGTGGAGTTTTAGATCCTCATAGCAGTAAGGAGGGCACAGAGGAAGCTCACAACTGGGCTTCAGGAGATTAGATGTCAGCTTCTTCAGGGACCTGCTTGGTACAGTACTGTGGGATAAAGCCCTGGAGGGAAGAGGGACCCAAGAAAGCTGGATAATATTCTAGGATCACTTCCTCCAAGCACAGGAGTGATGCATCCCAACAAAGAGAAGTTGGGCAAAAGCACCAGGATGCCTGTAGGGATGAAGGAGATGCTCCTGGACAAAGTCAAACATGAAAAGGGAACCTCCAGAATATGGAAGCAAGAATAGGTAGCTTGGGAGTAACAGAGAGACACTCAGTGATCAGGTTAGGAAAACTAAGGCACTGCTAGAACAGAATCTGGCAAGAGATTTAAAGGGCAACAAGAAAGGCTTCTAAAAGTGTGTCAGTAATAAAAGGCAGATTAGGGAAAATGTGGGCACTCTTCATAAGGAAACAGGAGACCTGATCATCCATGATATGGGGAAGGCTGAGGTACCTAACGACTTTTTTGCCTCAGTCTTCACCACTCATCTCACGGAATTGAAATGCAGAGACTGGGAGAATGAAGAACTGCCCGCTGTAGAAGATGATCAGGAGCAAGATGGTTTAAGCAATATGAATGTGTACAAATCCATGGGAACAGATGAGATGTATGTGAGAGTCCTGAAGAAACTGGTGGATAAAACTGCTAAACTACTGTCCATCAAATCTGAGATTTCATGGCAGTCTGATGAAGTTCCCACTGGCTGGAAAAGTGGGAAAAAAATAAATTTAAAAAGGAAAGAAAGAAGAGATAGCTTCAGGGAACTTTAGCTCAGTCTGACTCATCTCTGTGCCTGGCAAGATCATGGAATAGGTCCTCCTAAAAAGTATGCTAAAGCACATGGGAAAAAAAAAGAAGACATGACTACTGGCAGCCAACCCATCTTCACTAAGGGCAAATAATGTTTGACAAATTTGGTGTCTGTCTACAACAGAATTACAGTGTTGGCAAATAAAGGAAGAGCAATGGACATCGTTTACCTGCACTTGTGTGACACGTTTGACACTGGAAGACACGGAATCCTTATCTGCAAATTGGAGAGACATAGCTTTGACGGTTGGACTGCTTGGTGGACAAGGAATTATCTGGGTGGTCACTCTGAAAGAGCTGCAGTCAATGGCTCTATGTCCAGGTAGGAGGCAATGAAGAGTGGTATTCCTCAGGGGTTGGTGCTGGTATTGACACTGTTTAACATCTTTGCTGGGGATGTGGACAGTGAGTTCATCCTCAGCTAGTTGGTAGATGACATTCTGCTAAGAGGTGTAGTTCACACAGCAGGGGGGGGATGCCACACGGAGTGAATGTTTGCTTTTCTCAGGAGCGGATTATTTGATGATTACATAGAACACTTTTGAAAAATGTTTTTTGAGAGAGAAAATTTTCCAGTAGTGTAGGAAGGAGATGGAATTGCAAGTAAAAAGATGATTTATGAAGGGTTATAGACTGATGTTTGTTGTTAAATCAAGATATAAGAAAAGTAAAGACTGTGTATGGGAGTACAGAAATAATTTTCTAAAATGGAAAATAATTAAAGGTTGTAGGTGGTTCTATGATCAAAAGTATAACTGTTTAATTTGCATTAAATATGATGTGAAGTAAAGATTATGAAATATTTGAATGAGAAATGAGAGTAGCTATAGTCTAGCATGATCTCCTTCGGCCTATGATTTGAATGGTTAGATAAGCATCTGGCAAGGGCTGCCTAGATAGTAAATTATATGAACTTTTGTAAGTTCATATAGTAATATCATAATATCATAATATAATAGTAAGTAAATAAATAGTTTTCCCACAACTGAAACATTGATGATCACCATGTCTATTTTTACATTTA